CGCCTGAGCTCCCTGCGTGAACAGCGGCCAAATGGAAAAATTAGCAATGCGGCTAATCAATGCGGTGCATATTAAGCGGCTCAGGGTTGCAGGGGGGGGACACACGCAAGGCAGGGGGGAGCCAACCAGGGTCCAGGATCGATATGGCTCATATTAAGTGGATTAAATCCTGGTTGCTGATCTGACCCCTCGCTGCCAGCCGGAGGTGGCAGCTGAGTGAGGGCTGCGGGGGGTCCCGCTGTGATCACTTCCCTTGGCAGCAGGGCTGTGGGGGGGCCATGGGGGTGGCTTGCTGGGGCAGGGCAGCCTGGAGAGGCCTGGGGAGTGGCTTAGCTCGTCACCACATCCATCCTCTGTCTAGGGGATCAGCTGGGCTATGGGGTGATGGCAATCCCAGCTCGAGCCCTACAAGCACCCCCAGCTCTGGGAGAGGCATCTCCTGAGTGAGTGAGAAGTGCTAACAATGTTATTTAATCGCGGTGAGGAGGAGGGAGGGGCACACGGTCTATTTGCGTCCCTTTAATAAACCATGTTCGACCCACTGACCTTTAACCTGCCCGACAAGCCCCGTTATCCCCATCCCTTAAGGAATAAAAACATCACCATGGCAATGAGATGACGAGAGGGAGCGGGGTCCCTGGACCTGCGCCCAGGGTGGGGTGGGGACAAGGACGTCCTGCTTTGGCCCTGCACCAGCACCCGAGCGGCAGTGCGGGGTGGAGATGGGGCGGTGCTGGGGGTGCCGCGGCTTTTGGGGGAACCAAGCACCGTGGATGGGGTCCCTGAAGTCGGCAGAGCGGAGCTGCACTGTGCACCGGTGGGATATTGATCCCGGGGCTTGACAGTTTAATACTTCTGTTTATAGAGGAATATAGTTACATCGATGGCGTTAAATGAGTTACTAATTATATCAATACAAACACGATTAAAAGGGTCCTTGCTCATAGGTCACCGCAAGCAGGAGCTGCTGCTCACATTGCACAACTGCCCCCGGGCAAGGCCTGCCCAACCACTCTGAGGTGCACGGTGGGGGGATGCTCTGCAGTGGTGTGTGCCCCTGCGGGGTGGGGCGGTGTCCATCCGGAGGGGGGTGCCTGTCTGGGGTTGTGCATGCCCATCTGGGGCTGTGCATGCACGTATGGGGTTGTGTGTGGCCATCTGGGGTTGTGTGTTCCGGTCTTGGGTTGTGCTTGTCCGTATGGGGTTGTGCATGCATGTATGGGGTAGTGCGTGCCCATCCGGGATTGTGCATGTCCATCTGGGGTTGTGTATGCACATCTGGGGTGCATGCCCGTGCAGGGCTGTGCACGCACATATGGGGTTGTGCAGGCTCGTGCAGAGTTGTGTGCACCCATGAAAGGCTGTGCATGCTCACCTGGTGTTGTGCCTGCCCACGTGGTATTGTGCGTGCCCGTAGGAGGCTGTGCACATCCAGACACGGTTGTATGTGCCTGCATAGCGATTTGTGCCTGTGGGGACTGTGTGTGCATGTACAGGGTTGTGCACAGTCATGTGATGTTCTGTGTGCCTATGCAGCGTTGTGCACACCGATGCAGGGTTGTGCAGGGTTGTGCAGGGTTGTGCAGAGTTGTACATGCCCATGCAAGGTTGTGCCCTTGGGGGGATCTGTGTACATGTACAGGATTGTGCACATGCTTGTGTGAAGTTGTGTGTGCCCATGAGGGGCTGTGCACACTCATGTGGGGTCATGTGTACCCATGCAAGGTTGTGCACACTTATGTGGGGTTGTGCGAGCCCATACAGGCTTGTGCATGCCTGGGTAGGGTTGTATATGCTTGTGTGGGCTTGCGCACACCTGCGTGGGGTTGTGTCAGCCCGTGTGGGGTTGTGTACACCCACACGAGGTGTGTGTGTCCCCACAGGGATTGTGTGTGACCCTGGGGGGTTGTCATCTGCCACTTAGATGGTCCATCCCCAAGTGAGGTGGGAAGGGACCGCAATGCCCAACCTGCAGGAAGAGGAGGAGGGTGAGTGGAGCCCTGGGTAAGGGATGGCGTTGGCTCCTTCCTCGGGGCTGGGCCTGTCTGGGGGTCCCTCCTTGCCTAGAGGCTGTGGCAGGCCACCACCCGTGCTACCACCCATGCCACCCCTGTGCCACTCCTGTGAAGCTGTGATGCCTGGATCCCACTGCCAGCCTTGGCTGGGACCCAGCCCACCCCCATCAGCAAGAATCCCTCAAAACCTCCTCCTTTCCAGCCTGAGCATCCCCAAATCTCATGGGATGCTTGGTGCATCCCCAGCACACCCGAGGACCCTGCCGGTGGGTTCCCTGTTACTCAGCTCCGCTCTTGTCTCTGCTTAAAAGCCGACCTTTGCTCCCCATTTGATGTAATGTGTTTTTGCATCTTGGTGCCCCACAGATAAAAGGTTAGAGGTTGATAAATGGTGGAAAAATAGATCCCAGCACTTGGGGGTCACACCTGTTTTGGTGGTGGAGGCACTGGCAGCACGTGCTGGGTGGGATCCTGCCTGCCTTGGTGGGAGGAGAAACACGAGTGGCACCCCGGGGGCCTGGTGGAGGTGTGGGTGCAGGAGCCCACGCGCTGGGTTGAACCCCGGGAAGGCAGTGGCTTCACCCTGCTGTGGGATGGGCAGTGGTTGCCGGTTTTGCAGGGTTTGCTCCTGCTTTGACAAGCCAAGAGATTGCAGGGGGTGGAAATGGGCTTGGTGTGGAGCAGTGGGGGTCGGAGCCCTGCTGCAGGCAGGCACAGGCAGGGAAATGCAGGCAAAGCCTGGCTCACACAGCCTTCCTGGGGCAGAAATCAAAGCAGCCCCCTGGAGCTCTGCTCCGAGCCTGACCTAGTTACCGAAATCAATGGCTCGAGGAGCTCCTGGAAAAGGGCAGGTGATGGGGAGGGGGCACAGAGAGGGGCAGGGAGCACCACGGTGGAGGGGAGGGACAGGGTGCTGGCACCCAGGGGTCAGAGCACCCCGAGAGCATCCTGCTGCAAGGAGGGGATGGGTAAGTGGCACTCAGAAGGCACGGAAGGGATGGAGCACCATGGAGCAGCTCAGAGCCAGGCAGTCAGCACTCATGGGTGTGGTGGGAGACTGGCAGTAGCACCCATAGACTAGGCTAGGGACAGGCAGTTAGCACCCATCTGTTAGACAAGGGACAGGCAGCTGGCACCGATGGGCTAGATAAGGAACTGTGTTAGATGTGTCTGTCCGGTGATGGGAACAGTGGGGTGTCTGTGGGAGCATCCCTGCATCCCTGTGTGTCCCCATGTTCCCCCATCCCTGCATTCCCACATCCCAACATCCCTACATTCCCATGTCCCCGCATCCCTGCATCCCCATATCCCTGCATTCATGTGTCCCCATCACATCCCTGCATCCCCCCATCCCCACATCCCCGTGTCCCCGGAGCCTGACACATCCCCACAGCCCAGCTCCCTTTATCTGCCTGGTGAATGATGTCCTGGGTGGAGGAGGGGGTGCTCCCTTTCTATTGGTTTTTAACGGCCTTTCCCAGCACAATTGTTTTTTAAACGATTCTATTTTGTGCCTGACTTTGTTTTCTAGCTTGCATTTCTTTGTATATGTTTTGGAAATCCATTCTGGACTGCTGAGTTTTGTTTCTTTTCAATGGCTTTAAATTCTTACCGGGCTCACTGGGAGGAATTGGTGTCTATAGCGCCTTCGATTGGTGCTAATTTTTCCTTCATGTGCTCTGACTTTTACTGCTGAGCTATCGATCTGGCGGGCTCCAATTTGTCATGGTCACCCAGGCGCTGTGCTGGAATCAGGCAAGCCCTGGCTTTTGCACGGAGCCAGCGCTTCGTGTCCCTGGTGTAGGGGCTGCACTCGCCTCCCCAGTGCCGTCCGTCAGCTCAGCCTGAGGGTTGCGTCCTTGTGTTTGGAGCCGCGTCCATCCAATACATCTAAGTATCCGCACAGCCATACGTGTGCATCTGTGCAACCACGTGCATGCTCACCAGCTTGCACATGCATCGGTGCACCCACAAACTTGCCAGGACGCACAAGCACCAGTGTCAGTGCCCACGCGGCGCTGCACTTGTGGTTTCGTGCTTGTGCACTTGCACACAGTGCACACACATCTGGCTTTGCATGCGCACACCCACTGTGGGAAGTCCTTGTGCCTTGCAGGGATGTGTTGCTGCTGTGCTCACACCCTGGTCCCCGTGTGCAGCCAAGGAAGATGGATTTGGGGTCCCTATGTCCGGCCAGGGGAGGTGGATTTGGGGTCACCATGCCCAGCCGAGGGAGGAGGATTTGGCAGCGTGTCCCTTTGCGGAGGTGCCTCACGCTGTCCTCGGCCATCGATCAGGCCCCGTCTCTCAGTGACATGGCTCAGGCTGTGCTTATCAGGTCGTCAATAGCCCTGTCACCCTGGTCGAGTGGGGCAGCCCCAGTGCTCACAGCTCCCTCACTGGCATCCAGCGCCATGGCCCTGCCAGCTTGCCGTGCCCCTAGAAGGGACCAGCATCTCCACTGTGCAGGTGGATGCGTGTCCCTGCAGATGAGGATGCTGATCCCATGCTGGGACCTGGTGAACACCGGCACTAGCCAGTGCTGGGAGGCTGCTGAGCCAGAGCAGGGCTGAGCATCCCGGTCCCAGGGACCTGCCTGGGGGCCCAGGATTTGCTGCTGCTCTGTCTACATTGGCATCATCTTCCCAGGCTGAAACACTGTTGTCCCTCTGCCTAGCAAGGAGAGGGGCAGAGAAACTGAGGCACCGATGAAATGTCTTTGCAGCAAGGCTGTAAAACAGTTGGTGGTGCATGGGGAGCCAATGCCAGCCCCCAGGCACGAGGAGAGCCCAGCGCTGCCAGCATGAAGGGTGCGCTGGGGGGTTCCATCCATGGAGCCTCTCGTTGCTGGCAGAGAGGGCAAGTGGGGCCAGGGGTGATGCCGGGTCCTGGTACAGGCAGGGGCCCTGATCCTGGCATTGACCCCCTCTGCCTCGCACACCCGCATGTGCCGGCAGTGCTGACCCCTTTCTCTCCTGCCCCCAGCTCTACGAACTGGATGAGGACCCAAAACGCAAGGAGTTCCTGGACGACCTCTTCGGTTTCATGCAGAAGAGAGGTAAAGGTGGGTGGTGGGGTGGGTGCTGCTGACACCCCTGCCCCAGCTGCCTGGGGGGGCTCATGGCATGGCCCACTCAGGCACCGAGCTGCTGCGGGTCTCTACAAGTCCCCCAGGCAGGTCCTGTGGGGCCTCCCCCCACCATCTCTTACACACACTCACATGCATAAACTCATACTCAGCAGATTTGCCCCCGTTGCCCCAGGCAGAGGGCTCCCCTGCCCGCCCACCCCCGAGCTGGGGCTGGTGATGATGCCAGTTGCTGATGCCTGTTAGCGATGCCCGTTAGCGATGCCCAGCAGGCATGCCCACTAGCCGTGCCAGGTGGGGCTGCCCATTATCATATTCCTTGGTGACAACTGTTAGCAACACCCATTAATGACGCCCATTAGCAGTGCCCATTTGCAGGGCCTTTTAGCGATGCCTGGTGGGGATGCCCTTAGCAGTGCCCGTAGTGGTGCCAGTTAGCGCTCCCCATTAGCAGTGCCCGGTGAGGATGCCCATTACTGGCACCTCTTAGCGATGCCCACGATGCCACAGGAGTGGGGTTTGGTGACAACTGTTAGCAACACCCATTAATGACGCCCATTAGCAGTGCCCATTTGCAGGGCCTTTTAGCGATGCCTGGTGGGGATGCCCTTAGCAGTGCCCGTAGTGGTGCCAGTTAGCGCTCCCCATTAGCAGTGCCCGGTGAGGATGCCCATTACTGGCACCTCTTAGCGATGCCCACGATGCCACAGGAGTGGGGTCAGCGATCCAGGCAGTGCCGGGCGCCACGGGGTTAAGGGCTCACCAGCCAGCCCGGCAGCATCGGAAATCTTTGCTATCGGCATGGGGGGCCGAGCCGGCTCCCAGGGACTCGATAAATGCTTTAACCTTCGCCCTCCTCGGCCAGGCCTGCGACAATTAAAAGTTGCCGAGCACGGGCGTGTGGCTGGCCGTATTAATTAGAGCCTTTTGCTGGTGTGTGGATTAATGAACATGCCGCTCAATAGCCAGTAAACCCCAGGCAGAGGTTAATGCCGAGCTAATTAACGGGGGAAGGCTGAGGGGGTGTGCAGGAGCAGCGGGGCTGGCTGTGTGCAGGGCGAGGGTGGGCAGAAAGGGGCAGTCGCCCCCAAGCTGTGCCCATGGGAAGGGTGGTGAGGGTGCCCACCCACCCACAGGGCGGCACTGATCGACTTTTGGGTTGGGCTGGGACCCCACAAACTCGTTTCACTCAGGGCTGTGCTGCAGGGGCTGGGATGGCTGTGGGGCTCATGCCGGAGCCCAGCTGGAGGCTGGGGGGGTGGGCCAGGTACTGCCCCATGGGTGTCCCTGGTTCCCCTGGCCCTGGTGCAGGTTTGTGGGGAGCGAGTGGGAGCAGCAGTGCTGCCTTGACCCCCTAGCATCCATCAGCCACGAGATTCATGGGCTGTTCCGGGCTTCATTATCTCTCTCTCCAGAGCTAATTAACTCCCTCGCCATTGGGGCTGGGGCTAATTAAGCAAGCGCCTGGTTGTGTGGGGAGGAGGAAGGGAGCCTGATGCCTCTCTGTCAACGCTGCTCCTCATCCCTCCATGTCCAGCTGTGCTACTCCTGTCCCCTCTGTCCCATGCCTCCCCGAGCGGGTGGCATCCCCCCGGGGAGGGCAGGCAGGTGTGCACATGCGGGTGTGCAGGTGCAGGGGTGCGGGTGTGTGGGGGCGGGGGTGCAGATGCAGGTGTGTGTGCACCTGTTGGAGGAGTGGGGGATTTTGGAGCCAGGTAGCAAAGAGAAAGAGGGCAGGGGGCTGCGGGGCAAGAACAGCATCCTGGGGGTCATCAGGAGCTGGCTGAGAAGCAGCACCCATGAGCCAGCATGGGTGTTGCTGGGACACCCAGAGGTGCATGGGCAGGGGGCTGCGACCCCCAGGCTGTGTTCCTGAGGTGACGGTGGGCCAGGGGGGACTGATGCCTGTGGGGTAAGCACTAATGAAAGGGGCTGCACCCCCCCTGCTGTCTGTCAGAGCATTTGTCAGTGGGGTGGAGAATTAGTGGGGCTGAAATATGGGCTGGGGACAGCCCCACTGGGGGGGACATTGGGAACCCCATGTCATGGGGCAGGTCACCCAGCCCCAGTGGCATGTGGGGATGACTGCTGGAAGGGAACTGGGGGAGCAGGGATGAGAAAGGGGTGATACCATCACCCCCATCAGACATGGGGTGCAGGCAGTGGGGCATCTCATCCCTGTGCCCCAACCTCCATGGCACCCTCAAAAGTGGTGAGCTGGGACGTAGGGGGACTATTTCTGCTTTTGCTCACCGGGAGTCCGCAGGGCCCTCCCGTCCCCCAACGAGCCGAGGGCCCCGCTGATAACATGGGGCCATTAATCAATCAAGGAGCTAATTGCAGCGCCACAATGGCAGCATCACCTCCCCGGGCTTTTGTGCTGCTTGCCCTGGCCGGGGCTGGGGCCAGGGCCATCATTCTGCCGGGACACAGACAGGTCCCTTTGTCAGTGGAACGGGCACCAGCCGCCCGCCCCACACAGCCCCGAGATTAATGGCAAGCCGCTTTCATTAGCCATCATGGTCAGGGAGGGGGGGAAGAGAAAAGAAGTCTATGGGCCATCAATTGGGGGCTGAGACCCCACAAACTCATTGGCGTGTTGGGGTGATGGGGAGCCCTTGAATTGGGGCCCCCCGAGGTGATGGGGCCAGTGTCGGCAGCCCCTAGGCAGGGCTGGCGAGGTACTGCTGGTGGATATCGAGTCAATATCTCTGCCTTTTTCTCAGGAGGATAAACTCCTCTCCCCCTTCCCAACAGGGCGAACAACACAGACACAAAAAAAAAAAGTTAAATGAACTCAGTAAAGGAATAAAAAGAGCTCATTTTTCAGGCTTATGTGAAGAAGCCGAGCCAATATCGGGGCCATAAATTAGGGATGCTGGAGGATGGCAGTGAGTGACAGCTTCGTTTGAGGGGCGAAGCGCAGCCGTGACAGCCTCCCCCCACCAAATGGATGGCTTTCCAATACCACCCGCGCCCCGTGGTCCCACAGGAGGAATAAATATGGGGTGGGATGGGACAGGACGGGACAGGATGGGATGGTATAGGATGCTCATCCCTCCTTGCCCTGCTGCAGCCCCCAGCTGCTGCCCGGCCCATTGCCCTGAAGCACTGTGGCGCAGAGCAAGGCTGTGGGGCTATTTGGGAGTGCTGGGAAGGTGGGGAGGGGGTTGTAAACAGACCCGGTGGTTGTGGGGACCATGCTGGTCCATGCTGGGCTCACAGAGCCCTGGGACCTCATGTCCCCTCACCCCATGCCCTCGGTGGGGGGGTGATGCTGGGGGACCCGGGGTCAGGGTCTCTACTGAGGGTACTTGAAGCGGATTTGGGGTCAGGTCTCTTGGGGGGGGGTACTGAAGGCCTTTAAGCAATCAGGGGGCTGCTGGGGAGGACCTGTGCGGTGGGGAGTCTCTCCGGGGACTCTTGAGGGAGTCCCTCTCTAGAGGGCTCAGAGGGAGATTTTTAAGAGAGAAAACCTCTCTATAGGGAGGTTATAGGGTGAGTCCCTCCAGATGTGTTATGGGGGGGTCCCTCTTCAGAGAAGGTTATAGCATGAGTCCCTTTATAAAGTTTAGATAGGGTGTCTATGAGGCTCTGAAAGGGGGTTACAGAGAGTCCTTCTAGGATGCTCTGAGAGATTTTGGGGGGAGATGCTCTATACCTGAACAAGGTTGAGAAGTGGGCCCGTGTGAACCTCATGAGGTTTAACAAGGCCAAGTGCAAGGTCCTGCACCTGGGTCGGGGCAACCCCCAGTATCAATATAGGCTGGGGGATGAAGGGATTGAGAGCAGCCCTGCCGAGAAGGACTTGGGGGTACTGGTGGATGAAAAGCTGGACATGAGCCAGCAAT